TATATATATATATATATATATATATATATATATATATATATATTGTTCATTTATATTTTTTTCCGAAAATCGCTCAACTGAATGTACATTCAAATATACCTCACTGCGTTCAGTGCGCGCGCGAATCCTCGCACAAGTAGGATTGGCGCGCGTCTGTTGGGTTCTAATGCGCAACACGGCGTACCTCGATAAGCAGTAATATCGATCCAATATTTTACACGCGTGATAATATCAGATAAAATAAATTAACACATCCATCTGCGCTCCCTCCCTCCCTCCCTCCCTCCCTCCCCTCAATATACACTCGTTTGCGAAACGGACACACTTCTTCCGATACATCAAATGACTAATGCGAGTCGCTACACTGAGAAAGAAATACTTAAAAATTGGCTTGTGAAATATAAAGTTTATTTCTGCAAATGAACTTTATATCTCACGAGTAAATTTTTAAATATTTTCTTCTCAGTGTATACTTATATATGAGCCTGCTCGGTAATCCGTTGTAACAGGAGTCAAAGGAACAACAATGTCATCCAATTTCAAAGGAGAATTTGTGAAAAAAAGATAAGTATTAGATTGGCGCAAAAGATTATGTCGTGCTTGTCAAGTAAAACCGAAAATAAAATCCAATTTCGAAGGATTAGTCACTTTTACAAATAAAATGAATAACAGCAATTTGGTATTTTTTTAGACATCCAACGAGAAAATGACAAATCTTTTACACTAATCTGATATCTTTATTGTACTCTAATTTGTCAAAAAAAAGATACGAATCCAGCCAACACATGCACTGCATATGTTGAATCGCACTTATATACTGCTGAATGAAAAATTATAATGTTGATGTAATATCACTGTCAATTGGTTTACTGAGAATAAAGGGCCAATGTTTGCACTGTATACTGTTACTTTATCTTCAGTTTATAACCGATTATTACGTGAAAATCGTGATCTGTCGCAATTGTGACTATCTGATGTGCTTCTAACTTCACAAAAAAAATCTGTTCATTCAAACCGTTTCGCAAACAAGTGTATACAATTCTCGAGCGACGCGAGTTCGGAAAATGATATTCAAGCATATCATAAAAATGACTAATCGTGCTAACAACACATAGACGGAATTCTTAAAGGCGAATAAACGTGGCGTAATGCAAATCAATTAACATCGAGATTCGATATTCTGTTGCTTTGAATATATTCCCGGCCATCACAGTTTGCGCGAAGAAAGAATATTGCCGATAAGAATCACGACCGTGACTGAAAAACAATGGCAGTTTTCGTGCGACTTATGCTTTGCCGCGGAGTTTCTCGATTATAAATTACATAATTGACATTGCACTAAGACTACCGTGTTGCACTTGATTTCAAACAAGCTTCATCTTGCTTAGACTTGGATCGCGACTGGCGACCGACCCGCGGATCTCGCTCGCGAATGCAAACGGAACAGAACCAAGAACGCGCAGCGGCGCGTAGGACTCTCTCTCTCTCTCTCTCTCTCTCTCTCTCTCTCTCTCTCTTTCTCTCTCTCTCTTTCTCTCTGTCACCCTAAAAGCTACTCGTCTCTTGGTACAGCCTTACGTGTAATATAGTTACAAAAAATAACGCTCTGTTATCTTTAAAGGAACTCCCTGCTGATATAGTCAATTGTCATCGAAGAGTATCTCGCTGAGATATATTAAGCTTTTGATCCCGCCTTGTCCTGGACTCTCTGTACATGATGAAGCTTCTTGTGATCCTTTCGGTACTTCTCGATCGTCAGCTCGGCGTTCTTGGAACTCGACAGGCTCAGCGTCACCGGGTCCAAGCTCGCCGCCAGCTTCAAATACGTCTCCTCCATCTCCTTCGTGATCTTCACTTCGTAGTCCAGGTTAATCTTGCGAGAGTCCTTCGACGACTGCTCGTCCAACATCTCGAACGTTATGAGATTTTCGCTCTTGTCTACTTCCATGCACTCCATGCCCAGCAAGGGAGGACTAACAGATCCGTTCTCCACCTCGCAGTAACCCTTGATATTCTTCGGCGATTTCTTCGACACGTCCCGAACAGTGCGAGTCAGACCACCGTCTTGCTCCGAAGACTTGTTCTTCGACAAGCCGCACTTCTCGTTCATGGCGTTCTCCCCGCACTTGGTTTTATTGCTGTCATGCGTCGTTAAATTGTCGACGCATAACGACGACTGTACCCACTCGGCCACCCGCTGCAACTGATTGTCCTGCAACAGCACCGGCGAGTTGTTGTCCTCGCTGCTGGTCGAGGTTGAACGCTCCGAACCAGCCCGAGATGCCTTCTTTGCATGCACCAGAGCGGTGTTAGTCTTGCCGCCTACAGTGCTGCTGTACAGTACGGTCTTATAATGGCCTGCGTTATCCAGCAAGATATTCTTGGAGCCAGGCGTGACACGCACCAAGCAGTTCCTCGGCCCGATGACACGACCTTGACTCGAGCCGACAGATTTCATGTTGTTAAAGACCACGTGCGTGCCGCCACCAACGCCAGTCAGCGATTGCGTGACGTCGCTGCAGCTGCTGGACGGATCGGAGCTGGAGATCACCATGCTGTCGCTACTGAAGCTCGGACTGGTCGCCACTTCAGTCTGGCTACCGTCGTTGTTGCTCGCGCTATTGTCCGGGCTCTTCACCTCGATTAATGTGAACTGCGCGGCGTTCCGTTCCGACCGATCGTTCTTCCAATCGCGGTCGTTGATGATGTCGAGCTCGACGCCGCGACTCGCCTTGTACTTATTGTCCTTTGTACTCATCTCGGACTTCCACTTCGTCCATTCGTTCTTCCACAGTCTGTCGTTGATGATGTCGATATGCGTCTGTGGCTTGTCAGAGAGCCGATTGTCGGCGAGCGTCGGGCTGATATCGAGATGATCGAGAGTACTCTTCTCGCTCTTGTTCCAACATCTCGCAGTAGACTTATTATCAACCGAGGGTTGCTCGCACTTCTTATTATTAGCCCTGAGAGGCTTGGCTTTGTCGACGTTTATCCTATTGAGATCATTCAGCCGCGAAAACGACGGCGAACGTTTGCTTTCGTGACCCTGAGACGAATTCTTCTTGTTCAGGCTGGCCTTCGTGACGCAATTCTGTTCCGTTGAGCAGTCCTGAGCGTTCCTACCGTTCCTGCTAATGAACTTGTCCTTGATGCACGTCGCTTGCGTAGCTTGCGTAGCATAGGTCGTGGTACAGTCGCCGTTTATATGATGGCGTGTCTTCTCGCCGTTCACGACATTCTCATTGATCTCATAGAAGACCGTGTGCGAGACCGCGGAACTCAGAGGGAGTTTCTCCATGCTTTGATGCTTCTCGCCGTTCAGCGTCTCCGACACGTACTTCTCGACATTGCGGGGCGTCTGTTGTTCACCGGTGGAGGTAGATGCGCTCGGCAGGCACGTCTGCGTCTCCGCGTCCACTATGAGGATGCTCCTGTGGCAGGTGCACGTGTCGCAGTGCTTCGCGAGGATCCTCTCCTTCTCGCGATCCTCCAGTACCTTCGCCATGATAGCGGCCGACACGATGTCCACCGGCGGCTTACACTCGTCGCCGTCATCGTCGTCGCTGTGCTTCTCCACCGTCGGCTTAGTGATGTTGTATACCATCGCCGTCGGTGGAAACGTGGAGATCGGCACGGTGATGCTTTTCACATCCGCCTGTGCGACATCCGCTGTGGAACATCGTTTCTGTGCGACGTATGTGCGCACCTTCGCCTGCACCTCGGACGGCAGCTGCGATAACAACCAAAGTAATGTGACCATGAGATTATGTTTGGCGTTCACGCATAAATTACGATACTCCACATCTATGTATAAAAAATGTAAGCCACAAGAAAATTGATTAAATTAACCAAATATCTGGTGAAATCTGAATGAACCAGAATTATATTCAAGTTAACAAAATTCTAGTTAGCCAAAGGATTAAATTTCCTGATTAACCAGAACTTGCAACTGTTCCAAGTTTGAGCAGAATTCTAGTAGCTTCAACCGGAATTATAGTTTGTTCATATTTTACCAGATATTTGTTTAATTCAACTTCTAAAATCTTTTTTCCGTGTATGTACGAGATATCATCTACATAGTATTTAATATAGTATAGTATTATATAATTATAGTATAGTATAGTTTAATATAATATTACAATAAGTAATCTATGGATATCATCTAAAAACGCATGGCTTACTCAAGAATTAATTAAGAAAAGTTTATATTATGTTATCTTTAGAGTCCTGATGTAAATTTATAAACGTTGTTTCCTGAAAAAGTTGGAGTTCACAGAATTCTCTAGTTAGATTTTTACCTACAGAGAGTTAAATTTATCGATCCGTCATATAATGAGATGAAAATGTCATGCAATTCATTACCTTTTTTAAATATTAAGTTTATCATCAATACCCAGAACAGAGATGATAACTATCTCATAATTTAATTTTTTTTTATATATTTTAATATTAATTTGCAATATTTTATATAAATTGTCTAATGATGAAAAGCGACCGTGCATACATCACGTAGAAAATACGTGAACAATATGCGTAGACGCGATACACGGCACAACTCTACGTCGCTCTGTCCTCAGGTATGTCGATAATAAAGGTATTGTATTCTCAAATGTTGGTTAAAAAGCATAGCTGATATCCCGGATGCAGTTAAATAACGAAGAGGTAAAATTTATTTGTGCGCGCGCGCATGTATAACACTGCCGGTGCATAAAAGCAGAATATTTACGAGACGTTATATAAATACGATAACGAGTAAAATGTCATTGTAGCATTTCGCCTTAAACTTGCTTCGCGACAACAAAGGCATAAAATTTATGCTGGAACTAATACACGACGTTATGTAAACGGAATATTATCGTAACGTCGTATTGTGTTTTTTCTTTTTATCTTTTACGTCTATAAATTAAGATCGTCGAGTTTATTCGACAAAGTGATCTTACCGAGTCGTATTTCTGACCTACAAAGTTGGAAGGTTTGCATTGCAGCAATTGGATAGCCAAACTGACATCGTTTCTATATTTTTCCTGAAAAGAAAAACAGACATATCTAAATTAATTGCGTATGTAGATTCGAATTAATTAAAAGAAACTAACATTTCCTAAATTGTATTAGTACATAAGATGATTCCATTTCCATCATATTATGTTTTTAATGGTAGATTTTTGATCAATTTGGAATCAAATTTTTTCAGTAAAGATATTAAGGTACTAATAATTTTCGAAGTATAAGCGATTTTGAAAAGACGAGGATTCTTTGCAAGTTAGATTTCAAGGAATAAAATTAGTACTAAAACTATATTTTTTAGGTGATTTGTTAATATTAAAATTTTGTTTAAGACAAAAAAATATTTGAACCCATCTAATTTTGGACATTCTGTTTGTCTTGTTTTTCAAATATAAATATTTTATACTTTTAATACAAAAAAAATATATATATATATTCTATGTTAAAAACTTAAATATTCGTACTTAAAGATCAAAATCAATAAGAATATCCAAGGTATGTATCCAGACACACATCAGTACTTTTACTTTACTAAATTTGACTTTTATTTTGCTTCAAAACTAGTATTTGGCTTTTATTTGCCGTTTCCTTTTTCTCTAATTTCTTTGTTCAATTAAAACCTTGAGGCATAGTTACAAGAACACAGAATGTGAGAAATTGAACTGTAAAACATAGTTACTCTCCTCAAGAATTTTTGCTGGAGGAAAATTGTCCAAAGAAACTGCTATCACAAAACACAGTAAAAATAGAATACATGTCAATAAAACACTTACATTATCTTGAGTTAATCGATGAATTGTAAAATTCGCATCTGCTAATCTATGAGATAAAGTCGCAATGTCCTTTGTGAAGGCACCCTTCTCCGTCTCACACTTGTCCACAATGCGTAGCAGCTTGTCCTCGAGATTCTGATTGACCTTCTGAACCCTCTTGTGAGCCTCATGTAGACGTGCATATTTCTCTTGCCATATCATCAGCTCCTCTTTCATGGAAGCCAATTCACCGTTTGGAAACTTATCAGCCTCATTTAAAAATTGTGTCTCCATTGTTACAATATGGTTATCTCTCTCTAATAAACGCTGACGCAAGTTCTCTATCTCTGCATGTAGATGCATGTCACAGTGTTGTTGACCGTCTTGTCCACAAGTGCCACATTTACATCCACATTCCTGCATGGAGATATAGATTGATAAGCACACAAATACAGATAGATTAATGAATACATACAATTAAGCACAGGAAGATTGATATTCACATCAGATATAACATTATATCTTGATATATAAACAAGAATCACAATATTTGGTTGCATGCAAAGAAGAAAATATAATATCAATCTACACATGAAGTTAATTCTCTCTAACCAACAGAAACTGCTTGTGCTACAAACTGACTGTTCAACTACTCTGAAAAGAAAAACCAATGCAAACCATCAAAAGCTGTCAACGTGAAAGTATAATGTGACATTTGCACAACAATTATGTTTATCATATCTTGCTATTGAGTATCAATCCACATACCAAGTTAATTTTCTCTAACCAGCAGAAACTACTTGTGCTACAAATTGACTGCTCAACTATACTGAAAATACAAACCAATGCAAACCATCAAAAGCTGTCAACATAAAAGTATAGTGTGACACTTGCACAACAATTGTGCTCACTATATCCTGCTATTGAATATGCTATATCGAGGCGAATTCAAACAGCGAGTATGTGAGTAAAAGAGGCAAGCTGCACACAATCCTATGAAATGCATTCCGATGCACGCGAACGTAGCGAGATCATCATGCGAATGCGTGACATTCGCGTCAGCAACGCGTCAGTCGGATTAACGAGATGATAACATGATTAAGCAGAAGAAAGGAAAATCGACACGAATCGTGACGAATCGCGTCGTGGCGAACAACGCTAGAAACACGCGAGTCAACGGATGCACCACACTGCTTATCGAGAGACGGGATGAATCATCGTCGAGTCTCGGCCGTGCGTCTAACGTCTCAGCTGTCAGCCACGTTGGCACAATTTTTTCGCGAGCGATCGGCGAAATTCCGCCGACTTCTCTCGCACACGTACCTTGCACTTCTCCGCCATGGTGGAGGCCGCCGTGAACGTCGCCCGGAATAATGCGAAAGTATCGTCTAACGGCGCGTCCGCGGTGCCGTTGGAGCCTCATAACCCCTTCTTGCCTGCCTGCCTCGGCGCCTTCGACGGACGGAGTTGTCGCGGAACCGCTCGCTCGCGCTCGACGCGACGATCCTTTAACCTTCCCAGTGCGTAGCAACGTCAAATTGAGCTCCGACGGGGCCGGTGCTCATCCAGCAATAACACGCGTTGCGGCAGCGGCTTTCCTCGCGGCAAGTTTAAAACCACTGGCTGCTTGCGCAATGCACAGTTGCGCGTGAGACTGAAATTTTTTGATTCCAACAATTTCTCGTCTCTTCTCACGCGAGACAAACTTGAAAACTCGTCTGACACAGTCGAATACGTGCGTAACCTTGATGCTAATGAGTTACGTTTGCCAAAATTATTTTTCAGCTTTTCTAAATCTTTGTTTTCTCTGAGTGCAATTCAGAGAACATTTTCTTTTTATATTTGCAGAGATGGGTGAGCTAATTTTTACTTAGACTTGAATTTTTTGAGACTCCACTAATTTCTCATGTCTCCTCAGAGAAGACAAATTTAGGAAGCTGTCTTCAACACAATCGAATGCACATTTAATTTTGATGCTTTGTTAATTTATTCACATCTATTAACTACATAAAATGTTTCTTTTTCCAAATGTTTGTGTTTTCCCTGAATTTAATTCGAAGGAAGTACTTGTTATTATTGTAGCACTGAATAAATTAATGTTTGCTTTTAATTAAGTTTAAAGTTGGTGACGTATAAAATTAACATGGTTAAGTTATACAAACAAGGACCATCTTGATTAAAAGTTAAGTTGAAACTATATGACTAAGAATAAGGAAGATTATTGATTTGTTTACTACATTATATATTTATAAAGATATTTCGAGATGTAAATATTTAAATTTGTTGTTACAACCGTGCGCCGCCGAAAAATCGCGTCGAATCGATATCAATATTAATCGATTGGCATCGATATCGTCCCGGTACGATTTCTCGGTGGCACGCGTAATATTGAATATATTAAATTTAATTTAATGAATATTAAATGAACATATTCTCACGTGCGAAAATTTTTACAGGCAAATATTCTTCTCGGTTTATATCGTGATTGAAAGAAATCGAAAGAAAACGAAGAGATTATGTAAGAGAGAAACGCGCAAAAACTGATTTGCAAAAGTATTTATTAAATATGTGTTACATCCCCATACATGATTTATGTATTTGTAAGTCGTTAATGGCATTAATACAATCATACTAACATTAAATGTCCACGATATTGTATTGAGTAGAATACTTGTAAAATCGTCGAATCTAAATGTAGCGTGTGTACATCTTTTCTCTATTTGTGTGTAGGTGTTTTGTTTGTGATCACGTGTGTACCTCGATTTTGAATAGAAAAACTGCCACGAACATTTTGAGGTCGGATCGCAGATGCATCGGCAATTTGTGTGATGCGATTGAAATTAAATGTTGAATGTACAGGAGATATTCGATTGAAAGTCAAGATTTCGTAGTGTTTCTTCGTCTTCAGTCGACTGATCGCCAAAACTGTCACTGAAATGTTGCTTCTTTTCGATTTGAGTTTTGCACACACGAGATGTTCAGAAAAAGTTGCAGTACATGCGGCTTTAAGAACCTTTCTCGCACCTTTTCCCTCAAATAAATATCATCGACACCTTGAGAGTAGATCAACTAATATTATTCTACTCACTGCAAATATTCAAGCACAACGTGTCTGTCAATTCAAGCGAGATACATCCAGACAAAGCTCGATGTCACGCTAAAATATTTCTCAATTATGTACTAAAATCGCGCTCTTAGATGAAGACAATTCACACGTCTTCAAGTGCGTATTAATAATTATTACTTGAAACTTGTCTCCAGTAAAATACTCGAATTTGAATTCAGAGTTAGATGAGAGTTTGTTTTCAGTTGAATCGCGATTGCTGATGCAAAACGTATAATTCAAATTTCGAAAAATCTGGATCTAATTCTCGAGAGAAATCTGAGAACTGTATTTTATAGTCATAACTCGAAATTTGTATCAAATGAAATACTCAAATTTGAATTCAGAGTTAGATGTGAATGCACGCTGAATCGCAAATGTAATGTCGCATATATTGTGCACATTCAAACAGAAAACTCAGATCTAATTTTAAATTCATATGAGTATCTCACGTGGGACAAGTTGCAAGTAATGACTGTTAATGCAGGCCCGAATATTTCACGTAAGGCAAGCTTCAAGTAGCAATTGTTAACATGGGCCTTAGACCCACTGAGATACTCAGATCTGAATTTAAAATTGAATTTGAGTTTCTTATTTCAATCATACAATATACTCGACATTATAACATTTGTAGTCGCGATACAACAGAAAAAAACTCGTCTAAAACTCATCTGTCCCAAGATCCGTTTTAATAATGTTCACTAAACTTGATATTTGTATATGCAACCGCAATTCACAGCTAAAAAGCTCTCATTTAATTTCAAATTGAAATCTGAGTAAGTTCTCACCTGAAGCAAGTTTCAAGTAACGATTATTAACACGGAAGCCTGAATTCAAATCTGAGTATCTCACCCGAGGAAAGTCTCAAGTAATGACTACTAATACAAGTCTGAGATGTAAAACGATGAAAGTGACAAAACTAGAGAACGAGAGTGCGCAAAAGTATCGCTTGCGAGGCTCTTCTTATTTGGAGACATCATTTTGCCGTCGTACACAAAATCATCGTATCACAAAAATATCGCAGTTTTGAATGCTCAATATATATATTGAAACGATTATAAACAAATACAATAATAATAAGACATGAGAGTTGAGTTGCCGCTCGGAGAAGAGAGTGGGGAGAGACGCGAATCCGCAAAGGGTGAAGTTCTCTCCGGGTTTTCGTCAACGTAAAGTGGGCCAAATGCGTAAAACACTTGTTACGCCTGAACACACCTTTCTTTGAACAATCCTGTATGCACATATGCGTGTAGCATTTCGTATATATTCATATTTATGTATATACACAGGGTGCGACGCAACGGTCGAGCGCTTGTTCTTAATCAGACGATAATCGCTACCGACAACAATGTTAAAACTCTGTCGCGGTCTGCAAAAAGGCGAAGGCGTCGCGCCTTGAGATGGGATATATGTGTATGTATGTCTCTCTCTTCCTCGTTATGTACAAATCACGTCGCTTCTTTTTCGCTAGTAGTAGAAAATTGTCTCGTAAAGTGTATAATAAAAAAAATATATATATCGTTATACGTGTATATCATATATTTACGCGCACGTGTGAGATCTTAAAGTAAAGGTGAACAATAGAGAAACCCCGATGATCATCATGATTGATGTGACCTGACTAGATAAGTACAATCAATCGGAACAATCGATCAATGACGACGGTGCGAGTGTCGCGCTCTGCGACATTTTGCAATAACGAGGCGGATTAAAGATTGCGTAAACGCCTCGACATTGTAACTACTCTGCTTAAAGGATCTGATGGGATTACGTAAGAGGAACCTATTAAACTGAATCATGGGTTTTTAATAAAAAAAGAAACAACAGAAATGATGTAGAAAGGCACATGCATTCACGGATAAATATTTAATCGTTAAAAGTAAATTACGATATGAAACGAAAAAAACTGGTAATTCTTTTTCATATAAGCTGAAATGTGAGGAATTGACATTTCCGAAATAGAAATGATATGTTCGGACAAGACCCATGTAGCATTTTGATTGAAATTTGCACATATTGTCCATCAATCCTTCAGACTTTTTAAGCAGAACAGTTCTTCACTCACGATCTTCAATCTTACACATAGCGTCTTCATATAGACGTTCATTGAGAAAATACTAAAAAATTTATTTGAGTAGGATATGAAGTTCATTCGAAGAGAAATAAACTAGATTTCGAAGAAATCCTGCAAATAAATTCTCGAGCGTTTTCTTCTCTAAGATTAAAAAACGCGGCCAATTGACCCATTATCGGAAAAATGAAGTCTACGCATTCCATTTCGTTCTCTTCAAATCTTTGTAATATTTTCAGAATTTTCTTTTTTTTAGCTGCTACTCTAAATCTTAATATTCCGCAGAGTCATGAGGGATATATATATATATATATATATATATATATATATATATATATATATATATATAATAAAGTTTGAGAAATTATTAAAGATACAACCAAAAGCAAAAGAAGAAAGAAATCCAACAAATTTCACCTTTCCAGTGACGGGCTAATTAAACAAACGTCGAGGCGATTTAGCGCACTCCGGTATACGGGGAAAGTTATGCAACGAGGCTAAACGTCGATAAATAAGAGCGTTTACCTTTAACACTGTCGTTAATCGTTGATTGTGTTCTCAACATACGAGTGATGATCGCGTTCCTCAACGCATTCCGGAATAATTATCGAGCCTGATTGTTGAAAAGCGTCGCGTCGCTATGCACGCAGTATTTACAATTAACGTCGAATATATAGAATATAGAATTTTGGTCGGGAGAGATCTCGCCTTCTCTAATCGCGACGAGGCTCGGGCAAGCCGCCCGCGACCCCTTCGACCTCGCAGACCGCGATTCGCGCTACATCTCGTAAAACGCTACACACGACAGAAAAAACTCTTATCTAATTAGCGGTGCGAGTAGTCCCGAATCGGCCGGAGTCCTACGCGACCTCCGCCGACGACCGGCCGCCTCGTATTACAGCGAATCGAAGCGCCAGGCATGCCCCTAATCGAAATGTCGAAAGCGCTACTTATTTATCTAGCGTTACGTGTACTCGAACGTGCGAGCGTTCGAAGATCAAATTTGATTAACGAGCACAGAATCGCGCACGAACCGGCTGTATCGCGGTCGGCTGTCCGCGGTGCGGATGCTGCACTCGCGCGACTTCTGAGGTTTCTTCGCTCAAAAACATGGTCTTGCACAGCGAAAGTGATCTAGATACGAGAAATTCGCTAAACTGGATAAATATCTGGCAAAGTTTTGTATTTAATCGATGTAGACGGCGGAGGTATTAATAGTCACTTGAAATCTCCCTTGAAATAAGAACTCAGACTCGAGTCGGATGAGAGTTTTCCAGTTGCGTCGTGACTACAGACATGACGTCACATGTATCGCACAATTCGACTGAAAAGCTTGGATCCGATTCCGAGCAAAAGTATTTCATGTGAAATAAACTTCAAGTAACGATTACTAATTAAGGCCAGAGATATGGTTGTTATGTGTCTGAACTATTTGTAAAATTTAGGAAGAAAGTTTCTCTGCGATGCCCATTCAGATTAAGGCCAGATCAAAAATTGGTAACAAGATATAAATTCGCCTGCAGATATCGCTGAAACGCTGTTAATTCGCACGCACCACAGGCAATGTTCTAGCAGATAAAAAAAACAGCGATGAACTGCGACATTTTAGAACTCCATCTGTGTCAGCAAAACATATTTTTGAGTGAACAACAGCGCGTCACTGCGAGAAGATTTGTTTTTGAGATTTTAATACGCGGGAAGAAAAAGGACTTGATCGCAGAGTGCAAACGCACGGGACAACACTTAAGATACATCCAATTGCACGCTCACATCAATCTCGATCCATGCAGAGTACAAACAGTAGTACGATCGGTGATTCGAAAAATATGTTGTACGAATGTATGTTTTTGTTACAGGTAACACGAAGCAAAGAAATATCGAACGGAGCTATATATTTGAACTTACTGAGAAATGCAAAAATCGGCCTAGTCATACAGTAAAACGAACAGAGTGTGAAGAGCGACGGCTTTCCTTCCTTTCTCTCTCAATTTTCGAGAAATTTTCTCGATCGACAAATTTCATGGCTTCTCTCTTCCTTCTTATATAAAAATAAGTAAACTAATGCGATAAATTCGTCATTTTTCTATCAAAGTTTCGCAGGAAACTTGGGCATAAAACAAAAATCAGAGTCCTCATTAAATTTCTAAAAAAAAAAAAAAAAAAAACATTCAGTCTCGATGCTGTTCATTTTATTCGTCAAGATTATTATCTAATAGTCCTCTTAATTTATTTATCATAATCCTTCGAAATTGGGTAATTTTGTTTTCCGCTTTACTTGACAGACCTTTCGCATCAAGCTGATATATATCTTTCGTTTTAATTACGGTAAGTTACTAATTAACAAATTTACTAATTGAAAACTTAAGGAAATTATCCGATCAGGGAGCACCGACTCGTGCTTCCAGCGCACTCGAGATCTCAGCGTAAAATTCGCTGATTCGAGGAAGAAAATCGTTTCTCTCAATGTCCGTTCAGAAGGTGACAGTACTATCGCATAGTCACGCAAGAAGAAACACTCTTACAACGTATGACACAGCAGTGGTATAATATACATATAAATACGTTTATATAGTGCTCTTTTTACCCTACAATCGAAATGATCCAAACATTAATACGTTCTTCAGACGTTACGCGACAATCCGGGAAATCAGTCACTTCGTTATGTCCCGTCATAAAAGAGAAAGGGTCTGTCGTCGAGTCGTAGATAATATGAAATGCAACTTTATCTCTATGAGAAAAATGATGCCGCAGTAAAAATCAACGTGTTGGTATCAAGGAAAGGCACCGATACTTATACGTCCATTGATTCGATATTCGTTTTAACACTTTGAATCCATCGTCTACACTCAAAACAATGACCTCGCGGTCGTGACGAAAACGATCTGGATACGGGGAATCAGCCAAGATAGATAAATGACTAGCAAACGCTGTGATATCACGCATGTTTTCCATTTGATCAAATATAGACGGAGACAGAATTGATACATTTGAACTATTCGCGAAATTTAGCACAAGGGAGAGAAAATCTCTCTTTCTCTCTCTCTCTCTCTCTCTCTCTCTCTCTCTCTATGGCACTCATCCAGATTAAGGCTAGATTAATAATAACTGGTAACGAGACCTAAATTTAGATATCGCTGGAACTTTGGTACTGCCGCGAATTCTGCACAAACAATATTTCCTAGAGGATACAAAAAGCGGAATATAAAGTGATAAAGTATAAAGTTATAAAGTATAATTGAACCATGACATTCAGAAGTCCACCTGGACCAGCAAAACACTTTTTTGAGTGTACACGACGGGTCTGTGGAATTTTTTATCTTTTTTCTGTTTTTTTTTTTTCGATTAAGATCTCGTTACGCATATTATTCGTATTTCGTCGGTTTCTTAATTACCATACGTTAGATCCTTATACGTATTCTCTATTTAGATACGTGACTGCGATAAACTTCGATCGAGAATAATACGCGCGTATTTTGCAAATGGTGATGCGTGGTATCAGATTCAAAGTGCTAAAATGCCGCTCTCTAATGAAAAGTGGAATAAGTACAAAATGCTTTTGTGCTGACCGCAAACCAGCGTTTGCTTTTGCAAATAGCGTTACGATATTTCGTCGCCTGTATAGCGTTCCGGATTCTCTTGTATATAAAAGTACTGTATTTTTTTTTCTTTTGTTTCTTCCCACTGTTTTGTCGCATTTCATCGTTGAGTATGTAAGATATATGTCATTTTCGGCCATATAGCTTTCGCTATATAAAATAATTGACTAACTACTTATCATTAATAAAAAGTACATTCTTCGTCGCATTCGGCTTTTCGCAATTTTCCCTACATTTGAACACAGTGACAAAGTTTGGAACATTTCAAATGTTGAGCATCTCCTTTCATATATATATATATATATATGTATATGTAAGAATATTATTAAAAGAATATGTCCGAATGCAATATTGCTTTATTCTACATATATATATATGCACACACATTGTGTATGTAATATATATCTATATATATATTTTTTTTTATATTTGTATAGACTTTCCATACTCCCCTATATAACAACAACATAACTTCTCTGAATAAGTTTCAACAAATTGAACACAAAAATCCCTACGCTAGATCAAATACGATGCATCCAGTGAACAACGCTAACGATGTAAAACATTAAAGTGGCAAAATAACGCTATATACGAGACGACCCGTTCCCGACGCATCAATTTCTTTCATCATAACGGAGGCGCACAACAATCTCGTCTCACGGTAAGCCGTCTAAAAATATCTTTATTACACACAAAACGGATCCTCTTCAAAATATATCGCAGTAAACGTCGTATGCTTGCGCCTTACGCGTTACCCTTTATATCATCAGTCGCTTTACACTAAATATCTAAACAATTCTAAAAATCTCTATACATTTTCATTTTATAACATACAATATAACATCGGTATGTAAATATAACTTCGAAGATCTGTAAATAAAATTCTATAAAATTCACTTTAAACTGTTCTCTCGACCCTCGCGGTTTATTTTATCTTTGTATTTGTACTTAATATATCGGCTCTATCTGTACTCTCTCCTTCTCTCTCTCTCTTCACACCTATTTATAAAAAAATATTCGAAACAATAAAGCTATGTTACAAACAAATCATTGAAAAAAAGATTCACTCGCTCTTCAAAATCAACAATGATCAACAATAAGGGAATACGTTCTTTCCACGCACACGCCACAGATGAAATCACTATCGCGACGTGCACCTCCGTTATGCGAAATAAATATGCGCGAACATTACGAGGAGAGTCGCCTTATATATCGTTGATATATTATATTGATTAAAATTGTCGTCTAGTGCAGTCTACTTACAGACGCTTATGATACACATCTAGATTAATGCTCGTCATTCGTGTATAAAGACTATTGTGTATCCAGCAACAGTGATATACCGGGTCGCATTGCGGGCGACCGCAATAATTCCTATCATGCAACGTTATGTATAACGCACTCTCCGATCCCAGTGATCCTACCAGTATTACAGAATAACCGCTCGAGAATGTATTGTTCCAGCTATGGATTATTAGAGTAAAAATGCACCCTGTACTGGGATCTACGGACATTTTGTTCAAGTAGCGTGGACAGTGTGTCCACACGGTGTCGCGTGTGCATAGTAAGAAAAGCTGTTCCTTCGAAAAGATCGTCGAGCGAGTGTCGTCGATTGTACGCACGTCTTGCGTACATATGAGAAAATGTTGTACGATATTATTGATCTTTCAATATAACACATCTAAAATAACAAAAATTCATATATTCGGCTCGTTCATGATCTTCGAGAGGTCCTCCTCTCTATCCGATTTCACGATAACTTGAACAATTTTTGCAGCATGGATCTTGATTATATAAATAAATAATTAAACAGAATTAAAACCTGATACACTGTGGGGACCACGAGAGAGCATCGGCCCCGAAGGAACAACTGATCTTATAGAGTAAATCACAAGTGAGCATTGCACATTATATTGCACGTCTTGCAATGTCACTGACGCACTTACACATGTATAAGTATATGTATATATATAAATGTGTCTTGTGTGTGTATGTGTGTGTGCACACGCGCGCGCACAAATGTGTATGCATGTACATGTATATGTAAATGTGTGTACGTATATGTCCGGCTGCATGTATATAAATATATGTATATAAATGTATCTATGTAATATATGCAATATATATGTGCGCGAGCGCGCGCGTGTGTGTATAAAAAAAAAGACGATACCATATTTAAAACAATACCAAATTTAAAACAAGAAACGTATTATCGAGTAAAACAAACATACATTGTATAAAAGTCGAGGCGAATATGCAGGATGGTTTGTTGCTTCGATATTTCCAATTTCTCCGCTTAGGAGAATCTCTCAGTCGTGCCGCTAATCGGCGGGCTATCCCGCATACCGTCGATGTTTCGTCAAAATTTTGTCATGATACGCGCGAGGATCGAAATCATTAAAAAATGGGTGCACACGATGTCGCTGGTACTGCCGCGCGATGCACCGATGATACACGAGCGTGTTTAAAATAAATACGTGTCAAAAATCGTTTGTCAAAAATAAATTTGTCATCGTTTGTCAAAAATAAATTTGTCACGTTTCACGTTTAACGTGGCGAGAATAACGTTCTCATCTAATCGCGAGCGCGGCGATTAACGTTAATTAACGTCGTGCCGTTGAGTCCGATACTGATCGTCGACACAATTTCAATGATAACTCAGCGGTGTGAGGTGTTTCTCTGTTTCTTTTCTTTTCCTTTTTTCCGTGTAAAAGCGTAATTTCTCTACCAAGTACACACACGCAAATCGACAGAATTGCACTAACATCGCTATCCCCATGCCGACTAGCGCGGAAGAGTAGGACGAATTTGCTCTCACGCACACCTCGTTAGACGACAATTATTACAATATACACGTATCTCGCGCAAAGACAGACTTGCCAAGCGGGACATATATGCCGTAGGGTTACATCGTAATCACGTAGTTCATCGCTAACAGTTATATTTCGCCGTATATGTACACGGAAAATGAAAGGTAACTTCTTTTTTCCCTTTTTAAGCATCCTTCCTCTCTACGGACTTATCATTTCCCTCTTATATTCCACCGCACTGCTCTTGCATACTAACTTGTACGTGTATATAAATATACCCATACATAAGTGAGTATACAGATATATATATATGTATATACATATATATGCTTCTACATACACACACAAACGTATAAATATACCCACGAGGCTTCAGAAATACATTTACAGATATGCACATATGGAGAAGCAGAAGTGCAATAAGGATACAATAAGAAATGAGATCCCTCTCACTGCTCTTCGTCACAGCGTGTACCCGGGGCGGCGTGAGGGGAGGGGAACCGAGATGTAAAGTTCTATCACGTTGAATATCCGTCATATCGGAACGTCCTGGCTATTTGCGAACAAAGAGACTTTCTTCCGCGCAAACAATCTGTACCTTTTGCAGTAACAATTCTGTAGAGAACACGAGCGAGCTGCCCCTCCCATCCGCGTCCGATACATCATACCTCTCTCTCTTTCGAGTAATACAATGCCTATTTAAGTGCTATCTCGACAATTGACCGGAGAAATAACCATCGTGTGATATGACATCTATTTCCGTTTCGCGCACGCCTAATGTGTGCCGCGCTTCCTCACTAATACGCTACTTAAATCGCACTACTAGTATCTACCACCAGCTTTTACAAGCAACCTTGCATCCGGAGCTGAACATCTATTACTCCAAATTTATCGTTATGTATGTGCAACTTGTGATAATGCATGTTATCTTCTCGTCATAAAAAATCGCAAGCCTTAGTCGTAATTCGAACAAGGTCATTTGTAATTACAGGATGGATAATTTTCGTCACTGAAACGCGTTAACAAACCTGTTCCCGATGTGAAAGGATCTGTTCTTTTGTTCGTCCATCCGTTATCTACGCTTTTTACGTACGTGCATATATATATATATATATATATATATGTATATATATATATATATATATATATATATATATATATATATATATATATATATATATATATATATATATATATATATATATATATATATATATATATATATATATATATATATATATATATATATCTTTCTTTTTATATAAATGCGAGTACGTCAATTAAAAAGGAATCTCTCGCCATTATCAATCTTGTAATACTCTTGCGGTGATGCCTAAACCGAAACAATACAATACGCATCTCTGTGCGAAGCGAGTCTACTTGCTGTTACTCCTTCGTCTCGCGAGCCAGAACAAACGGGTTTCTTAACGGTTTCTATCAGAGCGAATTTTCTTTATACTTTAAGAGCGGCTTTGGGAGACCAGTGGTGAAAACGGGCGGGTCCTGCGGGATATGAGGGCGGGTGTATCCACTTGCTCCCCCGATGCCCGATGAAGGGCGGCGGGGAAGGTCCGGCTAGAAACTGAGGGGGCATTATGTTGTACCAAGGCTGGTTTATCGGATGAGGACCGTAGCCCATGCTGAATGGACCAAACCACGAGCGGTTTCTGTTCAGGTGCAGCCGAGGGCTATTCAGATTACGCCTCCTCGCTGTACCGTTATTGCTAGGCTGTTGATTTTGATTAGCGGAACTCAGCGGTTTTGATTTTGCCTGTTGTTCTGCGCCAGCGGTTAGAGGGGATTTCTAAAGTGGGAACACACAGATTTGCTTTAAGCTCACGTTTATTTCTAATCATCCTGGGCTGAGAACGCCGTGGGTATAATTTCAAGTTGCGTATAAAAAAAAGAAGAAAAAAATGCGCGACATGAGATACACATGATGTGAATAAATGGATACGATGGACACGTAGATTTACTTTCAGCTTAAATTTATTTCGGGTCGTCTTCGAACGAAAAACACCGCTTCAAGTTGCGTGTGAAAAAAGATGATGTGTGACAAAATGTGGATGAAATATGATACTGTTTGATCACAGATATATTCTTACGTTAACAGTTTCGGAGATATTCAGTCTCTCAATTTGTAAGTCAATTCTTCTCATGTATATATGTAATGTTCAATCATATGATACAAATTTTTTTTGTTCTATGGATGCAGCAACCAATTTGGCAAAAATTTCACTCAGATTCTCGTATTACATTTAACGTATACGTGACGTATATTTTGATAATTTTTCCCCCTATTTCATTCGTATCTTTATTTCGTCATTTCCCGTGTGTGAGAGATATGAGCGCCATAATGAACCAGTCATAAAGAATGCAACCATTAAAAATCGATTAGCAAAGTTGCCGCCAAATGATATCATGATGCCAGTGAAGAATTTTCATCGTTGCGCTAATATTTACTTAAGAAAATTACATAAATGTGAAATTTCGTGGAGGTACATGAGATTTTGTTGCATCGAGAGAGAAAGAGAACAAGGTCATCTTCAAGTATTTCCACAAATCACAAGATGCTCGTCTTGCAATTTACAATGACCTCGTTTTCTTTTCTTTTTTTGTATCTACAGTTGCGGGAAGAACTATTGATTTGCAAATCAGCAACTTGATTATCTCCGAGACTTCATCACGGGGGACGACACATCTTCCATCTCAGTAGTGCCTACCTGTGTCTTTGTGAGCCCCGCGAGCTGCTCGTTCTCTTTCTCCGTATTCTCGCTATGGAGTAAAGGTGCGGTGTTCTCCTTGTCGTCGAACGACGCCAGGGTGCAGTACGATCCCTTGCTCTCGCCGAAGCGACAGGCGACCTCGTTGGGGTCGACCCAAAGCGTCAGTTCCACGGGCAGGGACAGGTCCTCGTATTTCACACCGGCGGCGTTCGCCGCGCTCTCCAGGGTCGCGTCCTTGCGGCTGACGCCGTTGACGCGGATGCAACGGTAGCCCTGGCCCTTGAACGGCTGGTCAGGGAACCAGTGGTTCTTGAATCGTTCCGTCAACAGCTCGACCAGCCGCTGCTTGAAGCATTCCAATTGATCGGGACTAAATTTTTCGTTTTTTTCGATCAGCTGCACTAAGAACAGTACCGCCGCTGTAATTTCGTTGCGCATGTTGCCGCTGTCCTTGGCCTGGATTACAAGCTGCCGGTGTGCACCTGCCGCGATACCACGATGCGAGGCTCTCGGAAACTAAAGTACCATTCGCCCAAGTCTCGGTGGAGCACATAGAGCCCTTCTGCACGGTCGCGGCGCTCGAACTGTTCAAGATCTATGTTTCCGGCGTGTGTTGTCCGTGTCTCGGCAGCACGACGATCGTCACGGTCGTCCAATTTTGTTACAATTTTGTAGCCCTCGTTCTTCACCAATGCCGCCGTGATCTGTGTACAAACGAGACACACCATGTAGCGCAGAATTGCATCATCCCGCCGCACGTTTCTGACACGCGGCTTTCCGTGATCCGGCCGATTTGATCGGTCGATTGTGCATCCACCACCGCGTCGACTTTCCTCAACTCTCGCGCTTACGTGAAGAAATACGCGCGACAAACTACAAGTGAAGAAATGACAAAGAGCATGGAATGGCAAATGGCATGAAAATGAGATGAGATTATGAGAACACGATATCCCTGTGTATTCAGAGGAACACAATCCACCGTGATACGCAGTATTTTATATTAGATAAACTGACTGAACATGGTATTCTTGTAATCTCAATAGTGATTAGCATATGGAAGGAAGCTTGGCCATCTACTGAGATAACCAAGAGAGATAGTCTACATTTCAAATAAAAAAAAGAAGAAAGACCTCAAGCATGAGTGTGACTGAGAAACAAAATGAATGAATGATTTTATCATCTATGCTATTTTTATCATTTTTTTTCTCATAAACATAACATATAATTAATTATTTGTGGCTATGTAATGATCAAACATGCGACTTGCTTTAAATAACAAGCTCAACATTATTTCACAAAATTTAACACAAGAAATTTCAAGCATGAATGTAATTAAAAACAAAATAAATTAGAGATCTTAATTTGTTACCTTCTATTATTATCATTCTCTTCAATAAACGACAATATAATCATTTATTTCTAACTTAGTAATGATCAAACATGTAACTTGCTTTAAATAACAAGTTCAACATTATTTCACAAGATTCAACACAAGAAATTTCAAGCATGAATGTGACTAAAAACAAAATGAATTAGTGATCTTAATTTATCACTTTCTATTATTATCATTCTCTCCAATAAACAACAATATAATCATTTATTTGTAGTTTCATAATGACTAGACATGTGACTTCATTTAAAGTAACAAGTTTGATATCATTTCATAAGACTCTGCACGGATCACTTGCAGAGCATGAGAAATATTCATTCTAAACACTACAGATGTTTAATTTCATCCTAGTAAATGACCCAATCAAGTGAGACCTTACTCTGATGATTCTCAATATGTTTTGAGATGCACAATCGAAATCAAAGGACAGCAAGACAAAATCCACATCATCGCTTCCACACACATAGAAAGAATACACGTACTATTTATTTAAATGCACACTTGCACCTATCGAAACGCGATCCAAACAATAGCATGCAAACAACGATGTGCTTCCTGCCCGAAGCTGCCGAGATAATTTCAAGTCGCATGAGTCAACGCGCGCGATCGAAAATCTGATTCATCCCCCGAGCCCGCCTCGATGGAACGCTCGACGAAACTGGAACGCGAGACGCGTGCCACTTTCCAACGAGCCGACGTGAACAGCGAAGCGCACTGTGCGCGTCTTTGTTTGTTTGTTTCTCGGTACCTGCGTACACAGAGAGGCACGTGCCGCGGGCTGGAGACGCGGGCGACGTCGCGACGAGCCGCGACGCTTTCGTTAGCGAGGCAGGACGCGGTGAATCCTGGCGCAATATGTTATGCGCGCGCTAGTCAGGTTATGCGTTACGGTATCTCCGGGTAGGTTAGGGGAATGGGTCTGTCAGAGAGCGGGAGCTGGGTACGGATCGCATCACTCGCCAAACGACCATCCTCCACTGATCGAGAGACGCGGATTCCCCTCGAGATTCGCGCGCACGGTCGCATTCGCGGCGCACCGTTGCCACGGGAGAACGCGAGGTAACAATTTGTGCCAGCTCATTGCCGTCGTACCACGTCGCGCCGTGCGAGCAATCACATCGCCCGTAATATCGCGCCTCCACGCGAACGCGGATTTACCGTTTTTGCTGTTCGCGCACACCACACAGCAAACGCGCCGCTGCCCTAAATGCACGGTAATAGCGCTAATTAATACGTGATATTAAAATAAATCTTACGAGCCAGTGACGAAAATTCCGTGTGTGTTGCTAGTGAAACTACTACGTCTCCTCTCTTCCTTTAAATAAAATAGTCGAAGCTCCAACACGTGTTACGTCGCACCAAATAGCCACGGGTTATGAGATGCGCTAGAGAGTCGAGGAACTCTCTCTTGCTCGTTGGCCAAGAATTTTATTGGCTGCATTCAATGAAAAAAGCGACTCAGCGAGCGTTTATTGATTATTGGGTGCATCCAGTACTACAACCGCTTACTGAGCGCTAAGCGAACTCTCGCGTCTGATTGGTGTATATTTAAGATCTAAAGGAATATGCTAATCGGACGCAAGAGCGATTGTTAACGAAATAGCAGCCCAGTACTGGGATTCTGTAACTCGTTATTGGAGTTAACGACAGTTTCGTTATCGTTGCGTAGCTTTTGTATACCGTAGAAAAGCTGCGCAACGATAACGAAACTGTCGTTAACTCCAATAACGCGTTACAGAATCCTAACACAGGGCTCCTATTCTTGAAATTTTTGCGTATACGTAAGTTTTACTGCGCAAATTTAATCATACGATAAAAATAGCTGCGCAATGAAAATTACGTATAAGCAAAAATTTCAAGAATAGGGGCCCAGGGCTGCGTTCCAAAACTCTATTCGACAAATAAGTATATTTAATTGTTCAATCGTGATAAAGAAATCCTAGTTATCTTTGTTCTTATTGGTCAATTAAATATTACTCTACCCGAGTAGAGTTTTGGAACGCAGCGCAATTGGTCCGTTCTTAGGTCTGTTCTTTTCAGTTAACTGTTGCACTGGTGTAATAAGTTAGAATGAGAAAAATATATTTTATTTCACTTTAGCTTATTGCACAAGTGTAGCAGTGCAGCAGAAAAGAACAGATCACTTTTTAGCTGCATTGCTGAACTAGTGGAGCTGAATAAGTTGGAGTGAAACAAATATACTTTCTCTCACTCTAGCTCGTATCAGCTATGGATTAAGGGCGGAATTCATAAACATTATTTGAAACCTGTCTTAAACATAGTCTTTTTCAAAATCAACTTAATACTCAAGGGGCATGTTCCGTTACTCGCTCGCGAGTATCATTCTATCTTCGTTTAACATCCATAAGCAACAAAGATAGAATGACGCTCGCGAGCATTGCGAGCGTGTAACGGAACGCACCCAAGATTGTTTTAAAATAATCTTAAGGCCGATCTACATTAAGGTCGTATCGTAACGTCGTAACATCGCAAAATCGTAGCATCGTAATGCTCGTGAGTAGTACAAAAGTATAATGATGAGTATGACTGGTATTCATAGTCGGGTCTTATTCTTAAGACTGCTTAAGTTCATCTTCAGATACTCCGTAGCCAATAAAATGATCCGTTCATCATCTGAAGATAAACTTAAGACGGTCTTAAATATAAGATCTGACTATGAATACCGGCCTATGATTACTTTTTGTGCTATATACTACTGTGTCCAAAAAGTAAGGTGACATTGCATTTATTTCGAAAATTCTTTATTTATTCTTGCAAATCAATTTCGTCCCCTTCAAAGTAATCCCCCCCTGATATAATACACTTATTCCAACGGATTTTCCAATCTTCGAAACAGTTGTAATAATCGATTTCAGGAATGGCCTTTAGCTCCTTCTTCGCAGCGGCTTGAATCTCTTCTATCGACTCGAAACGGTGTCCCCGGAGCCAGAAGTCGCATGGAGCCAAATCAGGTGAATACGGTGGTTGTGGAACGATATTAGTCGAGTTTTTGGCTAAAAAATCACGAATAATCAGCGCAGTGTGTGACGGTGCATTATCGTCACACAGTTAGCCGCTGCGAAGAAGGAGCTAAAGGCCATTCCTGAAATCGATTATTACAACTGTTTCGAAGATTGGAAAATCCGTTGGAATAAGTGTATTATATCAGGGGGGGATTACTTTGAAGGGGACGAAATTGATTTGCAAGAATAAATAAAGAATTTTCGAAATAAATGTAATGTCACCTTACTTTTTGGACACAGTAGTATATTTTTAAGTAATACGATTCTAACTCGTACGATACGACTAATGTAAATTGGCCTTGATACGGGCTTAAAGCTAGTGGCACAGAAAAACTTAAGCAGTAAGACGTAAGCAGAAAGGGACGTCTACATTGCAAGTAAGTAGTAAGAAGTAGGAAGTAAGAATAAGAAATTGACCAATCATAGTTGATTATTCTTCTCACATTCGACTATGGTTGGTCAATTTCTTAAGGGATGTCTACATTGCAAGTAAGTAGTAAGAAGTAGGAAGTAAGAATAAGAAATTGACCAATCATAGTTGATTATTCTTCTCACATTCGACTATGGTTGGTCAATTTCTTAAGGGATGTCTACATTGCAAGTAAGTAGTAAGAAGTAGGAAGTAAGAATAAGAAATTGACCAATCATAGTTGATTATTCTTCTCACATTCGACTATGGTTGGTCAATTTCTTAAGGGATGTCTACATTGCAAGTAAGTAGTAAGAAGTAGGAAATAAGAATAAGAAATTGACCAACCACAGTCAAATGTGAGAAGAATAATCAACTATAATTGGTCAATTTCTTATTCTTACTTTCTACTTCTTACTGCTTACTTCCAATGTAGACGTCCCTTTACTCTTACTTCCTAGTTACTTCCAATGTAGACGTCCCTTTACTCTTACTTCCTACTTACTTCCAATGTAGACGTCCCTTAACTTATTGCACTAGTTCAACAGTGCAGCTAATGGCTGCGTTCCGAAATTCACTGCCAGTACTAAAAATCTATAGTTCATGTCACGTATGCATAGAATTTCAGCACTGGCAGTGAATTTCGGAACGCAGCCAAAAAGAACAGAGCAAGTATCAAGACGAAAACGTGATTGTTTTCATACTTCTCTTTGATAGTAAACATGCAGAGGAGTGCACCAAATATTTTGATAACAGGTATACGACAATACTATTATAAATAACTTTATGACACGTTGTTTCACGTTAATTGCAAACGTTTATTTTAAATAATCGACATGTGTTCCAGGCACACCAGGCGTGGGCAAGAGTTTGATGGCTCATATGTTATCAGATGTAAGTGGAATGGTATGGCTGGATGTCAGTAAATTAGCTGTAGAAAATAAATGCTTGGAAGAGTACGATGAGGTGTATCAGTGCAGAGTGTTAGATGAAGACAAGGTAATGATTTCTTGCTGCCATATAAATGCATCCAACTGTGTGTATATTTTTATGGTATTCTTTTAGTTGCTCGATGGAATGGAAGATCTTATGAAGGAAGGAGGAAAAATTGTAGACTATCACGGTGCTGAATTCTTCCCTGAGAGGTGGTTTGACATTGTATTTGTCCTCAGAACAGACAATACTATCTTATACGACCGTCTCAAAGAAAGAGGTTACAGTGGCAAGAAACTAGAAGACAACATCGATTGTGAGATTTTTCAAACTATTCTTGAGGAGGCAAAGGCATCTTACCGGGAGGAAATTGTACACGAATTAACGAATAATAATAAGGATCAGTTAGTAGATAACATAAATAGAATATGTCAATGGTTGCAACAGTGGAAAATAAATAATGCACAAACATGAAAGGATGTAAATCTGCTATATATTCATTTATCATTTTGTACTCTCATTATTTTTGCCCTGTATTTTCCTGTTATTATTATATTTAAATGGAAACATCTTTATTTCTCAACCTCATATGGTGCCTTAAAAATATTTTATAACAAAACATTTATATTTGGGCTTGTGATATACTTATTCTACTATACCTAAATCATGCTTCAATTTCTTTAACCTTTTACTTATACTATCATAATACTTCATTTTTATTAAGATTTTGGTTGCTGTTTCAATATCTTTCTTATAAAATGCTTCTGCCACTTGTCTAAAGAAAATGTCAAAAAAGTAATACCATTCAAAAGAATATTCAGCATAGATTCAAATTGTGGAAAATGAAGATTACCTTGATAGAGTATCGAGCTCTTCTTTAGATTTCATAGCCAATTTCAAAATTTTATCTTTGTCTCCTGCTGCGCTTTCTATCTCTTCATTGCGTTCCATAATCTCCATGAGAAATTCTGGATTTAAGCTAGTAGTTTCTTCTGGTATAGATACACCTTTTAATTGTAACATATATAATCCCCTTTTTAATGGATGTGCCAATGTACTATAAGCCTTATTTACTAGAGATGATAAATTCTCTGAGACTTGCTTTTCTTTCTATCGACAATTAAAAGGAGCTTTACTTACATATGCTACAGAAAACTATAAATATTAGGTAGCCATAAATTAAAAAAAAAAAAATTAACAGAATCACGAACAATATATATAACATTTTGTCACACACTTGCCTCAGATTTGTTGCCAAACTTATCAGGATGTAGCATTTTTTGTAACTCCCTATATTTTTTATGAATTTCCTCGTTCACCACATTATAATCTTTCTTAATTCCCATAATGTCAAAATAATTTAAATTCTGTGGCATTTCCAGCAGTACTTTGCATTTTGAGCAGAACAGCTCTGACTTATACATGTAGTCACAATTCCAACATTTGAGTGGATTATCACTGCAAAACCGCAAACCTCCAACTGAAGAGATTGTAGACTGTACTGCAATTCTTGATGTATGATGTGAGTATAGCTTGTAACACTGTTGGTTGACTGGACATCCAGCTACGCTGGATTTTTTTATGATTCTCATTAAGAACATTTTATCAATGGATCTTGTCATAACCTACATCAAAATAATCTATAACAACTTTTATAAACGTGCAATATTTGAAGAAATTTTATCTTATAGTACATTTAAAAGAAGAAACTGTGCATTTATTTCTTAAAAAAAAAAATTAATAGAATTATCTCTCGTGAATATGTAATTTTAATCACTTATTATTATTAAAATTATACGAACCGATAATTGAAATTTTGTCTGGTGATAATTGATACAATTTATTTGTGCTTCTTTTAATAAATTTCACAAAACATTAAATAAGAAAATTAACGTATTAAATAAGAAAATTTATTTCAATAATCTTTCGAAAATAAATTTTCTAATAGCTGATCTATGGGCAGAGTCCGTTCAATACTGCAAATGCTTCGAAACGTCAATTGAATCAACATGATTGGTCTATCTGTCGCTCTGATGCACTTGCAACGCTAAACGGACCTTAACCCTAAAAATGATACAAATTTGCTGCTGTATGTCATCAGAAAATAAAAATTTTCCTATTGGATGTCGGGTGCATTCTTCAAGTTTGTCGAGAAAAAGGTGTTAATATATATTAGCAATTGCAAGTGGATTTTGTTTTCTTTGTCAATGTGCGACAGAAAAAAATGAAGTTCCCTCGTACGATAGGCCCTGTTGAGTTCCACGCGATTCCTCGCCTCCGAAGGAGGCAACGCCGCTACACATAGCTGTAACTTTGACCAACACTCACGCACCTACATCACGAAAGATCAGCCGGAGCTTCCTCTCTTTTATTCGTAATAGTGGCGCGAGGCTAATAGCATTTACGCTACGGTACTTTCTACCACGGGTCCAGGGACCTTCCTCAGAGCGATAAAGAGCCACTATTAAAGGACTCCGAATGAAGCTCCGTAGTGTCACCCGAGAGAACCTCGAACATTACGTTAAGTAAGAAATATATATATACGAAATATATTCTAACGAATACTATCGAGAAACCAAAAGCTAAATAATGCCATCTAGTAGACGTTGCGTAAACATTACTCTAGTCGACAATCGTAGTTTCGATAATTTCAGTCGTTCCAATCTCTTGACAGAGGGTACTTTCCAATTGCTTAACATATCTTGATATATACGTACACAAAACCAGTTTATTGGTCACATATTATCTAAAATATCTTGTAAGATAATATGCAACCAATAAACTGGTTTTGTGTAACACAGTATACGCAATTGGAAAGCGGTTAGGCGACAGTTTCCCGCAAAATGGAGAGAATAATGTTGGTACCAAGGAAAATCTCTCCACGTATATATATATATATATATATATATATATATATATATATATATATATAATTTAAAAATCTGTTCTTTGTAACGGATGGGACCCGATTGACCACGATACGATTGGACACAAATTGTAATGATTGGTTCGACCTAATAATTCACTAGATAATTCTTTTCATCGGTTGATTGTGTCCAATCGTACCGTGGTCAATCGGGACTCTCCCCTTTGTAACTGCACACTGCTGAACTAATACAAAAGGTTATGGCTT